ACATTTAGGAACTAGAGGAAAGTTGTATTTCTCATCATTGTTACATCGCACCCTGACTGGCTCATCTCCTCCCCGAGACAAAAATCATTTAAAAAAATTTAAAGCACAGTGATTAATCACAAAAGCAATATGTAATTATATATTGTGAAATATTTATGTGTTTTCTGATGGTCTTAGGCGACACCTGTGAAAGGGTTGTTTAACCCCCAAAAGGATGTCGACCCACAGGTTGAGAACCGCTGCTCTAGACACACTCCTACACACTTTACAAGGAACACCTGTTAGTTCTCCGCCTTTGGAAGGTGAACCTGTGGGTAGATGCTGAGTCCTTACAACCCCACTGGACAGAGTGGGTCCCCCATAGGGTTTCCAAAGTGTGTATGTTTACAGAATCAGACTGCCACAGCTTTCTCCCGATCAGCAGTTCATGGGTTTGAACCATGGACCTGTTGGTTTGCAGCTAAGCACTTAACCAATGCTTCTTTCAGAGGTCAAGTCTCATTATAATTATTATTGTTGTTCCCGGTTTTGTTTTTCATTTTTGTTTTTAACAAAATTGAAACATAGAGGTGACAAAGCCAGGACTGGGATTTAGCCAGTCTGGTTCCAGAATCCCTGTTACTCTGCTACACTGCTTCTCAAGTATGCATTTCTACTGGTTGAGCATCTTTTGGCTATTTAATGGAAATTTTTATATCTTCTCTTGTGAACTGCCTGTGTGTATTCTGGTTGGGATACCAAATCTCTCTTCTGAAAGGACAGGTATTGATTGAAAGGGAGAGAAATATATAAGGAGGTTTGGGTATTGCACTGGAAATAAAGCAAAGGTCACCGAAAGATGCAGAACACTGCACAACTGATGGGCTTACTTCACCCCCAACACTGGGGATGTCAGCCGAGGCAGAGGCAGTGTGCTCAGTGGCTGGCCACATGTCTTCTCTTGTGCTGGATCGGCCCCTCATCTTGCATTAAGTCAATCTCAAGGCCGTCCAACCAGTGCAGTCGTCGGATTTACCTGCCGTTCGGGCTTCTGAGACGTGACGTGAGTGCATCTGTCTCTGTCAGTGGCTCATCTATGCTACTCGGGTCATAACCGCTCTTTTTACCTCCGAGTATAAGGTACAGGTCCATGAGGGCAGTGGTGGTTCAGTAGTATTCTCAACTTCCTTTTATACAAGTGAGGTCCCGGTTCGATTCCACCATTCATCTGCCAGGAAGGCCTGCACGCTGCTATGCTGAAGAGGTATCAGCAGACAGACAGACAGACAGACTATGAAGCACGTCTGGTGACCTACTGCCAAATAACCACGCACTGCAACTGATCAGGGGATGCCCTACGACAAGCCAGTGTTGTGTTCCATTGGGCATGAGGTCTTTATGTGCCAGGGGCCAACTCAGTTCCAACTCCACCAGCACCACAACCTGCATTCCAGAACAAGTAGTCAACCTCTGAGCGGTCATAGTATGGCCTCTAACCTAAAGTAAGATTAAAAAAAAAAAGGTTTCAGCCAGCTCACTGGTTCTGTGGCCGTGTCCCTTTCTCAGCCTGCTTCTTCAGAGTGATGTAAATACTCCCTGTGACAAACTCCACAGCCACATCACCTCTGGCCGAAGTGGTAAGTCAAGGACAAGCCCTGGGAAGGTTCAAAGGTCAGGGCTGGCCCAGAAGTGGATGGCCAACAAAGAAAGGAGGTCATTATAAGAACAAGCCAAGGAAGCAGGGCTGTAACTACTGAAGCTGAAGTTGCGAGGAGAGGTGACTGCAGGACCAGCCAACAATGTGTATCCTTATAGGTGTGCTTCACAAGAGAGTAGCTGGCTCTGAGAAATGGTTGTACGAGAAGAACTGCATTGAATACAGTCTCCTTCAAGAAGTTTGATAAGTCCCGTTCCCCCCACCCCCACCCCCCACAGATTCTTGTAAATCCTTCTAGTTTCCGCCATGAGAAGAACAGGATGGTGCCCAGCTACCATTACAAAAATGTTGATCACCAATTCTATAGGAAAATCCTTAGCAAAAGGGGGAGGTGCAGAATAGAAGTTGAAATTCTTAGGGACTCTAGACATTTTAGAGCCTTGGACGATGGATGAACTCTTGTCTTGAGCTAATCATGAAACCTTAACTAAAAAAATACCCCTTGAAATCTTCCTGAAACTGAAGAACAGTTTAGATTAACTAGTTTAAAAAAAAGTCTGCCTTGAACATTAAGCTCTTTAAGATCTGTTTGGGATAAAATGACAGCAGCAATTCCAAACATCACACTGGAAACTGGGGGGCAGTAGGATTACATTACTAGAGAAGAATAACTCTGAAAAAGAGGTTGAGGTGACTGCACAGTTGGCTGGTGGTTTTGAACTGCTGACCTTGTGATTAGCAGCCCAACGTGTAACCCCTTTGGAACCATGGTTCATTTCTTTCTAAAACTACCTCATTATAACCAATCAATTCTGGTGCCTATTTCATGTAAAAAACCAAATCTGGTAAAAGTTAATACGCACTAGTTCTACTCAAAAAATGCTTTCGAGACTCATTAGCCAGAAACCAGCAGAATGTGAAGTTTAGCTTGTGAACACTTGTTTCATAGTTTGAGGTCAGAATAAAAAAAGAAATATTTCAAATGCTAAAATAAAAAAATATATATAAAATGATTATATATAATTGAAAGACAAAATACAAATTGTCCAACTATTCATCAAATGTTTTAAAGGCATCAATGGTGCATCTGAAGCATAACTCTTCCTAAACAAAGCACAACAAGCACTTTAAAGGTTTGAGGGAGTTGGCAGGGTATATCCGCCAGGAGAACGAAAACGTTCCTCTGTTACAGCCTCTTCTCGCCCATGCTCACAGATGTTATTCTGAATAGCAGATACACATTCCCCAACCAAACTCACTACCATGGAGTCGATGCCAACTCACAGCGACCCTCCAGGATAGGGTAGAACTGCCTATCCTGGGGTTTCAGAGACTGCAGTTCTTCATGGGAGTAGAAAGCTTCATCTTTTTTCCCCCCTCTTTTTAAGGGGAGAGCGCAAACGCAGTCCCCCGCTACCACAAATTATGCAGTTGAGTTTCCCACATTTGGGAAATCGCAGGGGTCAGCACATCCGGAGTGCAGTGGATATGCTTCGCCCTGGGAAAACCACCTTCATGATCATGGTACCTCCCCTGCCAGGTAAATATAGCTTCATCTTTCTCCTTTGGGCCGGCTAGTGGCTTCGAACTACATAAGTCGAGGTTAGCAGCCCAATGGGGAACCACTATGCCACCAGGGCTCTAGGTATACATTAGCTCCTGTTTATATGACTTTTTCCTATTTCTGGGTTTGTTACAGTTCAGTGAATGAAAATAATTAATAAACCAAAATAATTGTTTTCCCCCTCCAGATATGATTCCTTTCAATGTTTTATTACCATTGTTCTATTTAATAATGTTAATGTGTGTCAGCAAGGTTAAGGATTTGGTGTGTTTTTTCAAATTATATTTGTATTTCTAAAGTCCCTTGCACGACACATTTCCATCTTCCAGCTTCCTCTTATCTCTCCCAATGCTAACCGACCACAGAACAATTAACCTTTCTGTCAGATTCAGGGTTCCAGGTTGGAATGAAATCCTTGCGGTTAGGATAAGACAGCCCATGATGCTCTTTTTGTTCCCCTAGAGAATTCCTGTGATGGGACAAGACTTATACGGTACAGCAGGAAAACTAAAACTAACCCCATCTCATGGGGTTAACTCTAGGACGCAGAGCGAGGAAGGTACAATCATAAAAGAGAACCTTCAATCCTAGCAAGTGGCAGTTGTGAGGCTTCTGAGGGTGGATGGAACTCAGGGCAGGGTGGCTCAGACAGAGCGAAGTTGGAGATGGTTTTGAAAAGGAAAACAAGTCAGAAAAACAGCCAATGAGAAAAAGCAAGATAGCGAAACCCAGGGCAGAAAGGTTGGGAGATGAGTCTGTGCCTAGGGGTCCAGGCACAAAGAAACAAGAGAGAAGGAAGGAAGGAAGGAAGG